TTAATAGATGAGAATAAAAATAACCCTAGGTTTCTGTTTAGTACTATTGCTAGACTAATTAAAAGTCCCATTTCTGTTGAACCATGTATCCCTACAACTATAAGTAGTGATGACTTCATGAGATTCTTTATAAATAAAATTATTTCAATTAGAGAGAAAATTCAAACCATCCTTCCTTCTACTATCTCTAGTCCCCTGTCAAATGAGGCAACTTTAAAAATTTCACTAGAGCCTGATTTATGTTTGGACAGTTTTTGTCCTGTTCAGCTCTGAATTGTCAAAAATAATAACCTCATCCAAACCAACCACATGCCTGCTAGATCCCATCCCAACCAAACTGTTTGAAGAGGTATCCTGATGCATGCTCAATAATCCAGGTAGATTAATATATATATACTCCGACTGTTGAACCATGTATCTTTTCTATATATATATATATAAAATCCAGATTATGTGAGCAGCTGGTTCTGGTTGTCAGCAGCAAACTGGTTGATCCACTCTGAGAAGGTGCTATTTAAGAGACTGAGTTGAATACAGCACCTCAGACTGAAGAAGTCTTTCGGATGAAAGAGGAAACGTTTCTACATTTTTTTTTTTGAATGTCCAGAGGACCAGATGTAACTTTTTTTTAGATGTTTAAAGAGGTATTTCCCCTAATTATTGTTCACATTTTGGATCTGCTTAATTTGTCTTTAATGAATGGTTACGTACCACAGAACTTTAAGATTGCTGTAATTAAACCTTTTACTTAAAAAAACATAACCTTGATTCAGGAATTCTGGCCAATTATAGATCTATATCTAATCTACGTAACTTTCATCTAAAAAATTATAGAGAAAATAGTTGATGGTCAGTTACGTGATTGTCTGCAATGAAATAATCCTGTTTGAAGAGATTCAGTCAGGATTTAGAGCTCAAAACGATTGGGAACAATTGAATCTCAGAGGAGACTGGGATTTTTCAGTCATGGTCCCCAAACTTTGGAACAATCTGCCCCCCAACATCAGGCAGGGCACTTTACTTACTGTTTTTAAATTGCTGCTAAAAATCTCATCTGTTTTCTTTTGCTTCTCTCCTGCTTCTCCTGCTGACATTCAAGTGCATTAACAGCCTCGCACCTTCATACCTCTCCGAACTTCTTTATCCTTATGCTCCTTCTCGGACTTTGAGATCATCAGACCAGCTGCTTTTGGTGGTACCAAAATCCAAGTTGAAGCTCAGAGGAGATTGTGCATTTTCAGTCGTGGGTCCTAAACTTTGGAACAATCTGCCCATCAACATTCGACAGGCCACCTCAGTCTCTTCGTTTAAAACTCTCCTGAAAACACATCTGTACTCACTGACATTTAACACAGGGTGATCAGATTTAGATTTAGAATATCTTTGATGCCGATTGTGTTTATGCTTTGTGTTTTATTCCTATTTTACACACGGTCAGCTGACATGATTTAGTATTTCATTGTTCATTTAGTGTTTCATTGTTTCTTTTTTGGATTTTTCTATCTGGATTATTGAGCATACATCAGGATATTTCATTGTTTCTAATTATATCCTGATGCATGCTCAATAATCCAGGTAGAAAAATCTAAAAAAGTTAAATCTGGTCCTCTGGACATTCAAAAAAAAACAAAAAAACAAAGCAAATCAACAATCAATTTTTTTTATTTTTTTTTGTTGATTTGCTTTGTTTTTTTTTGTTTTTTTTTAATGTCCAGAGGACCAGAT